AAGTTTATACAACTATAAAAAAAAATTACTTGGGTGCATAATTTATACAGACAAAAAATTATAATATAACTAGCGGACCCGCGACAGACGTTGTCCTGTCTACACGTCTTTAATTTGAAAATTTCAAACTTTTTTTTAATAAGCTAAAACATTCTGGACCGATTTTGATGAAATTTTTTGTGTGTGTTCAAGGGGATCTGGGAATGGTTTAGATTCATTAATGGATCGCGCCGTTACTTGGTTTATTTTTGGGTACCTACTGACTTTGTACTGCAGGCATATTTCAAATCAAAAAATGACTAATTATCTCCAAAAATGAATTAATTGTCAATAAAAATAATTAAAAAAATTCAATCCTCTAACTACACAAATAAACTTGAAGGTTATGTTGGTTGTTAATAAACGCACGTGTAAATTAAAAAAGATAATTTATAAAAAATATACTCACTTCGATTCCGCACTAAATTTACAAAATGTATAAGTTATTTATATACACTTCAGAACTCTTCGAAAACTAATTACATTAAATATTTTAATTAGCAACTTCACTTGAATAACACAATTATAACACAAAATATTTTTCAATTTGATCGTAGCACTATCTGTCGGGACAAACTAAAATTAAAATAGAATAATATTGAATGCGATGGTAGCGCCATCCGTCGAATCTGATGTAAAACATTCCAAAATCAAAAACTCCTTACAAATAAAAATTAATTAAAAAAAACATCTGAATTCACAAAATTATTTATACACACTTCAAAACTCTTTAAAAAATAATTACATTTAATATTTTAATCAGCACATAAATTGAATAACAAAATTTTTTTCAAATTAATCGTAGCACCATCTGTCGGGACAAACTAAAATTGAAATAGAATAATATTGAATGCGATGATAGCGCCGTCCGCCGGATCTAATGTAAAACATTCCAAAATCAACAACTCCTTATAAATAAGAAATTAATTGAAAAAACATTTTCCAGTAGACCAAACTGTAAATCTAAACCATTCTCGAATCTCCACGAACACACACAAAAAATTTCATCAAAATTGGTCCAGTCGTTTAGGAGAAGTTCAGTCACATACACACACACACAAGAAATATATATATTAAGATATACTAGCGACTCACCCTCGCTTCACTCGGGTTCGTTCGCTAGCTTGCTTTCCAATTTAAATTTTCATCTCCATTTTCACCCCCTTAGGGATGATTTCCGGGATAAAAAGTCCTATGCCCTTCCCAGGGTCTCAAACTATCTTCTCACCAAATTTCATATAAATCGGTTCAGTAGATCCATAGATTACACCCTACAACGTCACAAACTTTACCTCTATACATAATATATTATTATAGATGTACGACAGACTATAGAAATAAAAAAAAAAGTAATCCAACTGCCACATCCTAACATCTGGCTGTATACGAGTACTTAATACATACGCGACATGCGAGCGAGAATGTGGGACGCCATATTGTCGCTTTGTTTTGTCTCCCCTTTCTTCCACTAAACACCAATATCGACTGAACGCACTTTGATCCCTAAAGCCGCTAGTGTAAGAGCTAGATGTTATTTTTTTGTGATCGTAAAAGTTGCTTCGAAATGACTGTACAGTTTTAGTCTTATGCAAGTGTATTGACACCGAGCTTTGAGATTTCTGGCATTTAAACATGTGTCGATGTGTAGTACTTATAAGCTACTAGCAACACCCGCGGCTTTGCTCGCGCTAAAACTACATAAAAACTCCAAAAAGATAGGTTTCGTACAAACTTTCATCCCCTATTTTACCCTCGTATAAGATGAATCTTGAAAAATGCTAAAACACGTATTTATTTAATTTAATTAAAGAGCATTAGTAGCAAGTTTCAAGTAATTCTGATCATAAATATTGTTTTGGATTGTATTGTAACGTGTTTCCCGTGGGAATTAGATAATCTCCCGCGGTGAAAAGTAGCTATGTCACTCTTCAGCCCTCCTACTATCTCCATACAAAAAATCATGCTAATCCATTACCCTGTTTAGAAGTGATAGAAGGACAAACAAACAAACTTTCACATTTATAATATTAATATGGGATTAACGTAATGTGAGTAAAATATATTATGTATATGTACATTGTTATTTTTTCTCTCTTTACTTTTTTAATCTTAGTATGTAACATAACCTGCACGGCTTTAAAAATAGTTGGTGGCATATTGTAAAAAGTAATTAGGTACCGACGTAGTAATCTCGCTTATAAACAAAGTACATATACACTCGTACATATCTCCATTCCGAATTTCGGTTAGATATGTTGAACTGTTTCCGCGTGACGAGTAACAAACACACTCACTCAACTTTTTCATATGCAACAATAATGAAATGAATTTATTGCTAAAATATAGAATACTAGCTGAAGCCGAGGCTTCGCTCGCGCTAACACTACAAAAAAACACTCAAAAAAGATAGGTTGAAACAAACTTTCATCCCCTATTTTACCCCCTTATGGGATAATTTTCGAAAAATGCTGAAACAAGTATTTATTTAATTGTATTGAAGAGCATTAATACCAAGTTTCAAATAATTCTGATCATAAATATTTTTTGAGTTGTATTACAACGTGTTTTCCCGTGGGAATTAGATAATCTCCCGGGGTAAAAGGTAAAAAACACGCTAATCCGTCACTCCGTGTCGACGGGAAAGAAAGACAAACAAACAAACACACTTTCCCATTTATAATATTATAAGTATGGATGCCTACACTTTTTAGTATAGAGATAAAAGCTCAATAGTCCCCGGTAATAAATAGGAGTTAGGTCAAGCAAATATCTAAACATAGGCAACAATTTGGTTTTATTCCATTATTTATATCCGGTGCGTTCCTAAGAGGACCCTCGCTCATAACTATAACAGTTATGTACCAATAAAATCTAGGATAACCATTCGTATTGCTTAACCTTTATACGACGATGAGTCGGATCGTTTTGCTTACTTTTATTTTCATTACATAAATGTTAATCTATTCTATACGTATAATAAAATTGTAACTGATCGCTGTCTGTACATGGAAGATTATTTGAGAAAAACTATTATTGAGAGTCCTTATTAACGTGATGGAAGCCAAAACAATGATTTTTAGAATTTTTGACTGTTTGTCTGTGCGTTTGCACAAATCTGCTCAGATCTGCGCTGATCTCAAAAACGGCTTATCCGATTTGGGTGCCGTTTTCATTAATGTATTGTGGTAAGCTGCACTTATTGACTTTTAACCGATTGAAATAAAACAAATACTAACATTTAGTATTTGTTTTATTTCAATCGGTTCATAAATAAAAAAATTACGTCAAGTCAAGAATCAACTAGGGACGACCGAGCGAAACGAGGTAAAACGAGGGTGAGTTGCTAATGCTAAATATATACGACTCTAGCGGCTCACCCTCGCTTAGCTCAGGTTCGCCTCTAGAAAACAACACCAGATCTAACCCACGGGAACCGTACTTTTTCCGGGATAAAAAGTAACTTATGTGTTATACTGATGTATGAGCAATATTATTGCAGTTTCATCAAAATCCATTCAGTAGTTTTTGCGTAAAAGAGTAACAAACATACATCCATACAAACATTCTTACAAACATTCGTTTTTATAAGAATAGTAGGATAGTAGTTTTATAATTTTTACTTATAGCCCTGCTTATTTATCCGCATAATAAATAAAACAAAAGCCAAAATTTGAACTTGATTAGAACCAATCTTTTAACACACCTTTATTTGCTGCAATTGTATCTTATTATCCAATCAAATCTTGGAAGTCATTTTAATCTACTTCTCTCTTATCGATTTGAAACTATATATGTATATGTATTGTGTCAGCGGTGGCGAGTTCGAGTTCCGCTGGGGGCATTTATTTATTTCTTCTCCGTCCCGCTGGTGGCATGAATATTTGTTCTCAGTCATGGATGTTTATATTTTAATATGTATATATTTAAAGTTATATATGTGTAGTATATTAACTATCTGGTATCCATAACACAAGCCTCGTAGCTCACCATGGAACTAGATGGTGCTGGGGGTAATGACCCAACATATTTATCTTCAATGCACAGTACAATAGGTATATTTGTGATCATCGAGCTGATCTGATAATGAAGCCCGGAGGTGAAAAATTGTAAAACTTAAATTGAAACCTAACTTTTTGATGCATTCCACACAATAATGTTGGGATTTTTTTTTGTTTCTTTCAAACTATAATTTTTTCTCTTATTTTTATTTTTAAAATACATTCGACTGTGTTTTAAACAGTGTGTGCAGAAAATTGCCAAAAAATCCACAATAAACATTGTGCCTTCTATTTTTACCTGACTGCGCGAAGCAAAGAAAGGTAATGTGTTTATATATGAAACTAAAAGTTATATTTCATTAAAAAATATTATAATGATGATGTTCTCCTGACCGATTTCGGCCACGGCGGCCAGTCTCATTGAGACTAGCCAACTGCGCAGGAGATATTATAGTGCACAAGTGTACGCGCAGACACAAGTGCACTCTCTATTCCCGTCACTCTCATACTCCGGTGGGACGACAGCTTGACACGACCAGTGAGAGTTAAGGCGCAGGACCGACGGCTTTCCGTGCTCTCCGAGGCACGGGGGTGAAACACCGCCAACTTCCCAACTCCGGGCTGTTACTGAGACTTACTATACAGAAAGACTCAATAACTAAACCTGCCCGACCCGGGAGTCGAACCCAGGACCTCCGGGTGTGCAGCCGTATATGCTAGCCACTACACCACCGAGGCAGTTATATAATATATAAAAAATATATATATATATATATATATATATATATATATATAAAAGTTAAAGCAAATGTGTTCCCCCGTGTTCAACAGTCACCTCTCAGTCAATACATGTTGAATGTTAGAATACAGACGTTATGCGACCTTTTCTGTAATAAACTTTGCTCCTCATGAATAAAACACTTGGTAGTTTTACGACATTCGCTTATTCTGTATTGTACTTACCTATTTTTGTTTTTATATCTAAGCATTGCGATATGTGAGGAAACTGGAGGATCTTCCGCCACTTTTTGCTCTTGCCTTTGTTGCTATCGGAACCTCCTGAGAACAAATACACAATATCAATATAATTGCAGTTCATTTTAAGACATAAATGAAATATAAAAACTTTTTAACAAAAAAATAAAAACCGACTTCAAACAAAAGCACTAAAAAGTAAAAAATAACTGATTGGTAGTTTTCATTTACTATACATACCTAATCAAATATTTTAGAAGTCGGTGTGCTTTGCTTTGTATGGGCTGGCACCGAATTCGAAAATATTTGATTAGGTATGTATTTAATAGGTAGGCTTCAATTACTTAGCCAAAGCACACCGACTTCGAAAATATTTGATTAGGTATGTATAGTAAATGAAAACTACCAATCAGTTATTTTTTACTTTTTAGTGCTTTTGTTTGAAGTCGGTTTTTATTTTTTTGTTAAAAAGTTTTTATTTTTCCCTTTTTAGTGTAGACAGTAGTAGCAAAGTAAGGATTCTAACGTGTTAGGCTTGTCAAATCAAACAAAATAAGCCCAAACTCAAAGTATCTACTATTAGCCGTTGAAGAGTTCCACCTATCCACCTTCTGGCCTTGCCATCAGATCAGATCAACAGTACCGAACCACTGTACTATCAACGGAAATAGAAATACTTGCAAAGTTTCAAGTCAATATGACAATTAAAAGTAGGTTAAATTCATCATTAGTTGTTTTTCCACCCTTAGGGGTGGTATTTTTTTTTGAAATTTAAATGGGACCAATCTGGAAGTATACCCTTTCAAACAACATAAAAATTGTCCAAATCGGTTAATAAATGACGGAGTTCTGAGGTAACAAACATAAAAAAAAAAAAAAAAAAAAAAAAAAAAAAAAAAAAAAAAAAAAAAAAAACATACAGTCGAATTGAGAACCTCCTCCTTTTTGAAGTCGGTTGAAAATAGATTAAAACAAATAATCTACACAGACAAAATTGAAGTCTCTGTTTGTAATATCGAAATAAAAGCTTTTTACTAAATGCATATGAAATTATATACGTTACTTATAAGAAAAAACCTTTTTTTTTGTCTGTCTGTTTGTTCCGGCTAATCTCCGAAACGGCTGGACTGATTTTGACGGAATTTCTACTAGTAGATAACTCATGTTATAGGGAATAACTTAGGCTATTTTTATTTTAGAAAAAGAATTAGGCTTCCGCTCAAAAAAAATATAACGTACGCTAATTGACAATAAAAAAATGCTCATATTGGATTAATATGGATAAATTCTTTTATAGTGTATATATATATATAACAGTGGTAACGCGCTCATTTGGGAAACCGAGTGAAGCGAGTTCAAATCCCGGGTCTCGCACCTCTGATATTTTTATGTGCGAATCATTTCCAACATGATTACCACTTGTCTTAGCGGTAAAGGAAAACATCGTGAGAAAACCTGCAGGTCTAAGAGAACCTAGCAAGTTTTCGAAAGACATGTGAAGTCCACGAACCCGCACTTGGCCAGCGTGGTGGACTATGGCCTGATCCCCCTCGAAGGGCGGCCCGTGCCCCGCAGTGGGACGTTAAAAAGAGTTGAATATAATACATACAATTAAATAGTCCCGATAGAAACGTGTCACCATTGCGTACCTATTGTACAAGGAAATAGCACAATTTGACATAATTTTTGAAGGTCAAAACACCCTAAGTTCATCCGCATGGATATAAAGGAAAGAAAAACAAATCATATTCTTCAAGTATAACAAATAAACACTTCCACAGCTCAGTCTGTGGCACCATTACTGTACAATAATGGAAAGGGACATATCATAAAAATATTCATTTTATATCTCGATATTAATGATAATTAATTTTTATTAACTTTATTTATACTAATATTTTTATAAATATTAGTATAACTATTTTGTTTGTTTGTTTGAACGCGTTAATCTCAGGAACTACTAATCAGATTTGAAAAATTCTTTTTTCATTAGATAGTCCGTTTATTGAAGAAGGCTATAAGCTATATTATTTATGTATAGTCTATCTATTCCATACTGACTGTTAAAAATAACCTAGGGAGGCACCCAAGCGAAGCCAGGATGTGTCGCTAGTAAGGTTTAAAATTTCTGTCAAATACAACAATTTTAAATTAGCTCACGCTATTGTTTTCTATCCGCTCGTTTAATACAAAACAAGCCTTTATAAAGTCGCCTTAATCGTTTCTATAAGTAAAGAAAAATAAGTGAACATTTTCAAATTAACTTTGCCACGTTATATTTAAACCTTTTCTATTATAACTTCTTAGTCAATTCTAATAATTTTTAAGCAATTTATACAAGTTATTAATTTTTTTACCAAAAAGGTACACTGACTTAAAAAATCATATTTAATTCAATTATTTCATTGTTAGGGGCGGAATTTTTGGGGATAAGGGAGCTCCTCTAAGGTATAACTTTAGACTGAAGACTTATAAAGCCGGAGCCCACCAAAGAAATTTCTAAGTCAGAAGTAGTAGCGTAATTTTACTGTTTATGCTACTATTTTCGATTTTTGCCAAACAGATTGTTTCCTTTCTTTAAAGAATAGGAGAAATTTTGTATAGGTATTAATTAGACTTTAGTAGAAGTCGTAGTAAGTTCTATGACAATCTGTCTATATTGTTTCTTAGTCTGAAACCTTTTCATTAAAATCTGTTTACAATTAGACAAGCACAAAGCATACACACAAAAATATACACACGAATTCATTACCTTAAAGTCCATTTTGAAGTTAAAAATAACTAACCTTTATAAAATTTACCGTTTCGCCGTTGTAATGGTACTTCATGCTGACAGATTTGTAATTTTTGACCTACAATCAAGGAACACACACACATTTCCTTGTATCAATTTCTAATCATAACTATAGTGCCGGTAGCGTACGTTACTCTTTGTACTGCAGGATCTATCTTGCCAATACGACAAGCCAGTTATATGGGACATAAAACTGAGGACGTGTATACCTACTAAGATTCATTAGTTAAGCGATTGCCTAACATACCTAAACGATGAGATCGTCCAAGCTACAAGAGCACTTTTTATTAGGGTTCCGTAACCAAATGGCTAAAACGAACTCTTAAGTTCATCATGCCCGTCTGTCCGTATGTCACAGACATTTTACTATAAGACTATTGAAGCTACATTGCTGAGGTAGGTAGATGTCTCATGTCAATTGCTAGACGATCTTACGATCAAATTACAACAAAAATATACATGCATACGAATATAAGTACATATGATATAATTTAATGGTAATATTTTATTGTAAAAACCACAAGACCGTCCATGTTAACATGATAATAATATATCTATATAAAGGTAATCTTCACACCAAGCCCCCAAACATATTCCACGCTTCTTTGAACAAGTTTTTGCAATATGCTAATATTTTGAAAGGACCACTTATTGTGATATACCAAAACCTTTATCACTGTTATTTATGATATGTATGTATTTAAAGTTATATATGTGTAGTGTACAAACTATCTGGTATCCATAACACAGGGCTCGTAGCTTACCATGGAACTAGTTGGTGCTGTGTGTTAATGTCCCAACATATTTATATTTATTTTAAGTCCAATTATTAGCTACTATGCCGCTCTCGGCTCTGCCCACATCAATTATTTGCATGTATAGTGGCTCCGCTCCTAAAGCTCTTAGGGTGATGATAGCCTATAATCATCCTCAATAAACGGGCTATTTAATGCAAAGTTTTTTTTTGAGATTAGCACTTTCAAACAAACAAACTTTTAATTTTTATATACTCAGTATGTATATTCAAATCACGTGGATCCATTGCTGCTTGAAAAAAGGATACACCTCATACACATTTTTGCATTTGTAATCTCTTGTAATATATATTTATATACAAAATATGTACTGGATTGCTAAATATATACTGCCTTGTTGTGAATACGAGAGAAACTTATTAAAATTTTCATATAAAGTTATAATAGAACGTATCTTCGCATGTTTATCTTTAGTCTATCTCAAGTATCTACTATATAAAGCAATTTTCTCTGTATGCTAGTTCCAAAAATACTGAATTTCTAGAATCAACATACATCAACTCATTGCTTATTCATGAATAGTAGTAGTTATTGTACCAAATACGAATACAATGATAAATTACTTTATTTCATACTAGCGACTTACCCTCGTTTCGATCGGGTTCGTACCTAGGTACGTTTTAACGGTTAGTATGAAATAAAAAAACTTAGAATTTTTGAATTTCTCGGCTTTTCTGTACTATAATATGCATGTATTATACATATAAACCTTCCTCTTGAATCACTCAATCTACTAAATAAAACGGCATCAAAATCCGTTGCGTAGTTTTAAAGATATAAGCATACATAGGGACAGACAGACAGCGGGAAGCGACTTTGTTTTATACTGTGTAGTGATAAACAGTTATTGTGAGTGTGTAGTGTAGTGTACCGTAGGAGATAGACATATCAATCATATTATTGCGGGCATTTCTGTAGACTTTTTATAGACTTACAATTTTCTAGTACATTTAATTTCTAAGGACGACTCGATAGAACACGTTATTGTGTTGTTCCGTGGGAATAAAACATTTTCCTGTAATAAAATATATCCAAAATGTCGACCCGAGTAATAAGTTATCACTACAAAAAAATAATTAAAATCGATTCAGTACTTTTTGCGTCAAACGCGCACACACAAACAGACGAAAAATTAATTATTATTATTTCGACGTCTATATTCTGTACACAATACGGTATAGTCAGTTGTTTTTAAAAAATATTTCATGTACAGATTTCGGCAAGTTACTATTTATTATTACATAATATATGTATGTATTCAGCTGTAATGGCATCGCTTTATCCCAATGATGAAGCCAGCGATTGGCATCTTTGTTGCGAAGTATTTTAGCGTAAGCAAAATCTATTTATTACTACAAAGGACTATTTTAAAGATGATAATTATTTAATACTAGCAAAACCCGCGGCTTCGCTCGCGCTTAAAATATAAAAAACAACTTAAAAGGTAGGTTTCACAGAAACTTTCATCGCCTATT